TGTTGGTATAATAGGAGCGATTGTATAAGCGTAGCGAGTTAAGTTTTAAAATATTTTTTTGATTAATATTGTTTCATAATTACTACTACGGTATACGATTCTACAGTTGATGGTTTTTAACTATATTATAGTTATTAAAAACACAGTTTGGATTTAATTAAGAAATCGCTAATTAAGTACAAACTACTGTAATTATTCAAATTAATTTGGTTTATCAATTAAAGTTATTCGAAAACTAAATAACCAAATAAACCGCATGGTTTGTTAATAATACTGAAAACGACTGAAAACTTTTTTCAAACCAAACGATATTATATCTAGCCTGTAGTATTAAGTACTACCTATTGCCCACGATTTCGTCTGCGTAGAATATGATTCCCGTTTTATCCCATGTGAGCATCTAATAGGGATAAAAAATTCTATCACCTAAGTCATCCCATACCCTGCCTGTATACCTAATCTCATCAAAATCCATTCAATCCATCCTTTTCAACGTAATTGACGGACAAACATCCAAACAAAGAAACATTTACATTTACATATTTTATAATATTAGTGTTAAAATGTTAATTAGTGAAATAATTTCTGAATATCTATATATATAAATGAAACCTGTTTCTCGTTGTCACGCCATAACTTGAGAACGGCTAGACCGATTTGGCTGATTTTTTTGTTGTATTTATTAATGTCAGGAGAAGGTTTTTATGACAGAAAAAAGTCCTGAAAATCGAAGTCGCAGGGCAGAAGCTAAGTACATGATAACATTCATAATTGTTTACCATTTTTTCACCCGCTCCCAACCCCGCTACCACTATACCCCGACCCTACGTACACGCGGCTTGGACCAACTAATTTCACACTGATTTCGACAAGTGTACTTTCGACAAAAAACCTCCCATTCACTATCCGATGTGACCGGCAGACGTGGCTCGACAGTGAAATTTCAATGAATGAGTTGAAATTTCATCTTGGAGGCTTTAAGTAGAGATTTTTGAGTTTTGAGTCTGGTTGTAACGTAATCGTGAAGAAGCTAAGGACGGGAATTTAATGTGATTCCTGAGATGAGTTAAGTATAATTATAATTACAGCTAATCGAGTCTACACGTGACCAGAGGGCTGGCTTTTTCTTCGGACAGAAAATAAGCATTGCCATTCAACGTGGCAATGCTGCCAGTCTTCTGGGAACGTTCCCCTGTGATAGTGATGCGGACGAATACTTTGACGCCTAAATTAAGGGTATAATTTTTGTTGTTTTCTTTTTTTACTTTCGTTTTATTTAATAGTTTAGTTGTAAATAGGTAGGTATATTAATTACAGTTACTTGATCTTATTGTTTGTGTAAAGTGTTGGTAGTAAGTAATCTAATTAACGTAAAATAATTATTTTCGATTTCAACATAGGAATTAGTGGTCATGGTATATGGCCTTTAAAAGTTTTCTGAATCAAAATAGGTTCTAAAACATAACATAACATCATTCCTTTTATCCCAAATAGTGTACATTATGCCACTGTACAATGTAAGACCTACTTTTCACTATTTATGTTATGAGTTCCATGTAACAAGGGGTGAGCATATTGCCATATACCGGGCACGATTCCAGACTCCGTGCTACTACTGTGATTTTTAAAAACCCAGTAATACTTTGTCCGACGTGGGAATCGAACCTGAGACCCCTTGCCTGGCAGTCGCACTTGCGACCACTCGGCCAACGAGGCAGTAGAGTGTGTCAGTTTGTACAGTGGCATTAAGTGTTACAGCACTTAATTCCTATGTTGTTTCAAATTAAACAAATTAAACAATTTATTATTATTATTACATATATTATAATCACATTTACACCTCTCTATCAACGAAATTACAACGTAAGTATTTAGAAATCTGAAATAAAAATTATTAATACAACACTCAATACCTTTCACAAATGTTTCAGTAAATTACTTTCTCAAAATAAATAAATATACTAAGCTGTAACCGTGAAATATCGACTGGATTCGAACCCGTAACTCGTCAGTGAAATAATAAATAACAAAATATCTTCACGCTGTTTCTGAATTAATTTTAATATGGCGTGAATGACTACTGCAGCAGTCTACTAGTTATATCTAGCTAGATATTTGGATAAATTATTATTCAATTTTATTTTTGAACACACATTTTTTCGGTAAATGCTTTGTTATAAAGGTACACATGAAAATATTAACCACGAAAGCATGCTTCAATTGAGCACTTGTCACTTAGTAGCATATGTGTCGGAATAACATAACATCACGCCTTTTATCCCCGAAGCGTTAGGCTGATGCACATTACGGCGCAGTACTCACTTTTCACTATTTATGTTATGAGTCCCGTGTAATAGGGGGTGAGCCTATTGCCATATACCGGGCACATTTCCAGACTCCGTACTACCTACTACTTCGATTTTTTTTAAAACCCAGTAATACTTTCCGACCCGGGAATCAAACCCGAGACTCCTCGCCCGGCAGTTGCAATTGCAACCACTCGGCCAATGAGGCAAACAATGACCATTTTTTTCTAATCTTTATATATATAATTCTTCTGTGAGTGTGTATGTCACTGAACTTCTCTCAAACGACTGGACCGATTTTGATGAAATTTTTTGTGTGTGTTCAAGGGGATCTGGGAATGGTTTAGATTCACAAATCAGCCTGGCAGATGGCGCTGCAATGGTGTCTAGGTTAGTTATCCTAAACAGCTGAACTAATTTGAATGAATTTTTGTTTATACATTCAAGTTGATATGCAGGACAACGTCTGTCAGGTCCGCTAGTAGGTATCTTAGATTATTTTGAATAAAAATCATCAGCTCATCAAATCGGTTAAATGTCTGAAAACTCTCTATTACATCGTGACAGGTGATAAGGTCTAGACTTTTTTACAGTCTAGACTTGTTATAGCTAAAAAAGTTAGACTGAATTGAAGATTGGCGACGAATTTTTAAATCGATCTTTATCCGTTACAAAATGATTGTTAAAATTTGTTTTAAACTATCATTTTGTTTGAAATAGTTGTCATAAGATAATTATATTATGCAAAGTTGTGCTTATCGTATCTAACTGTAGATAAGTCCTATAAATTTGTTGAATTCAAAACATTTTAGAAAACTTTTTGTTTTTTAATTCAGAGTATACGGTCTATACAGTCTTTGGTTGAAATTAAAATTGATTGTATTAGCACGTTCATCGCGGAAGCCCATTTATGCATCTAGTTAATATGACGCAACGAGATCTAAAAGTTCTCGTTGTGATCCATCAGGAATAACGCAACGAGATCCAGCAGATCTCGTACGACTTAGTCACTTCAAACCCCAATAGTTTTATGAAATTTGAAAATTTTTATATTTTTTTCGTATGTGTAGGTAGGAGATGATCAGACCTTTCAGCAGGCTTTCACCGCCTCAAGTTATGTCGAAAAAAATAATGGAAAATTTACAAAATAGAAAAACGAGAACTTTTGGATCTCGTTCTGCACTAGATAGCAAGAAAATGCGAGTACTTTTAGATCTCGTTTTGCAGATATTGCATAGTATCGATAAAAAAAATAGTGATGAGAAACAATAAGACCAACAACATTATCGATATTAATCATTTATTATAATACTATAGTGTAAGGCATTAGAAACTTATAAACTATTCAGTGCAAAAAATGTCAATGTTTTTCATTAAAACATGGAAGACACATAGTTTTTTCACACTTCACACAGAAACCTTTTACCTGTTTTGTCTTTTTATCCGCTTCCTTGCTAGTCATTGTTTTTCGTGCCTTTTCGTAGCAACTCACACAACGTCTCTTTTTGGTATTCACTATATATTTGTGTTCAGTGGTCACTCCCGGATTATCTTTTTCCAGGAAAAAAGGAACCCCTGTGAATTTCGTTATGATGCTTTCTATAAAATTCTTCTTTGGTAACTTCTTTTTTTTTTTATTATTATATACCACCCATGCATTTACTATAGCTGTTCCAAAAATTAGTTCATTAGTAAGCTCTTGATAAGAATGTCCAGTACTTGGGCTAACACAAATATTTTCACTGCGCACTCCAGGAACACGTTTGAACACTTTCCGAAACAGAGTTGAAGATTTTGGAGATTGATTATTTTCATTTCTTACGTTAGGTTCTTCGGAAGAACTAAAAGAAAGTTCTAAAATTTTTCGACAGCGTTTGCGATTCGTCATCTTGATTACCTATAGCGTAATTGATATGCACACATCGAAAGTTGACACGGCACTAATTATTTTCTTGTGAGGATTCGCACGAAATCGCTACGAGATCCTTTAGTTCTCGTTCCGCGCTAGATGCAAAATTTTACTATTTGGTCGCAACGAGACCTATCAGATCTCGTTCGTTTTCATTCATAAAAATACTACATCCAATGTACCTAATATGAACAAAAATATTTGTCTCACTCTATCAGTAAAAAATCATACAGAAATATCATTTGCCGAAACGAGATGGACATAGGATTTCACTTGCGCGATACTAAAACGTCACAAACGAGAACTAAAAGGTCTCGTTCCGCGTTGAACGTGTTAAAAAAAGATGAAGTCAGCCTTATAATAGGACAATTCACAGATTGAGTTGATTATGTTTATCTATAATATATCGCCATGTAAAATTCAGACGTCAATAAGATGAAAACCACTGAACAGATATCTTTTTTTATGGGATAAGGCGGTAAACGAACAGACGGATCACCTGATGGTAAGCAATCGGCGCCGCCCGGGTGTCCATACACCCGAAACACTAGAGGCGGTTATAAGTGATTTACCAGCCTTTTAGGGCTTAGGAATTTGTCAATTTTGGGGATTTAGGGATTAAGGAGATTGGGGAGGGGGGTAATTGGATCGCTGATCTTAATAAAATCTTCAAAGACCTCAATAAAATTTAGCTCACATCATATTTTACAACATAGTACCTATAAATTGTAAACGAAAAAAGTAAGCAAAGCCACAGTATAAAGGTATAATTTGTAAAGACTCACCGTCTCCGCTCTGGTTGCTGCTGTGCGCGTGGTACTGCTCATCTGTGAAGTCGTACTCTACGTTAGATTAGACACATCTGCTCTCGACAATTATTTATTGAGGGGATATATTTGAAAAATAATGTCTCATAATGTAATTTCGAAGTGCCATATTTGTATTATTACATTATGGGATGCTGTACATGATGATTACCTGTGGGTCCCGTTCGAGCTTGAAACAAGTTGAGGATCCCCGTAAAATAATGAAATGAATGATGAGTAAGCTACATCTTTAGTGGCAATAGCGGTGAATCCAAATTGATTCTAAACGGTTCTAAGTAGTTTGCTCTGATTTTTATGAAATGTTTTAAGAATACAAACATTGCTATTTACAATTTCAGTTGTATTTACTAAAACGACGTTAAAGCTCTAAGGAATAATTTGTGGATGACCCACATACAGTTGTACAAACTCAACCTCAAAAGCATTTATTTCAATTAAACCATAATTTGGTACTTTTGAAACGTCAACAAATATAAAAAAATAATAGTCTATCAATCTGTCCGTCAGTGCAGCTAGGCGCTAGTTCCTTAAAGTAGATTTGAGTGGAGAAGAACGAGCAAAAAGCAAAAAGCATTCGTTACACTTTAAAAAAAGTATGTTTTATATTCTCTCCTTGTGGGTTTTCGAACCCACGATACGTTGCTCAGTGGCCACAGCTATAAAGCTGTAGATAGACACTTAACAGTAATAATATATCTACTAAACTTAACATAATAAGTAAAAAATTTTGATTGTTTACCATAGCTCTGCTCACCTCCGTTCCTGTGGTCGCTGCTCATCAACTCCTGGCTTTGCAACGTTGGTGCATGGATCAGCACCTTCTGCTGAGGACTGTGAGGATCCAGGCCCTCAACCTCCAACAACGGAGCGTGGGGTTCATAAGAATGGACAACCAACTGAGGAGCGTGGAGATCCATCCTTAACACATCACTTTCAAAGTACAATTTTGCTTGAACACTCTTTTGTCCGATAAGTTCGTGGTGATGTGGCACTTATGTCGTTGCTCTTAAAGTTCGATGTAGCCTCTGTTTACTGAAATTGTTCACTATTGTTTGGCACAGATTTTGCGACTAAAATCTAGATTTTAGGAGAATTATATTGGAGTATTTTGTTTGTTGTTTGTATGATCACTATTGTCACATTGTAACTAAGACCTGTGTTGTTGGTCTCACTGGATTTTTTTTCGGATTTTCTGTCGATGCATCATTTTTGGATCTGTTGACAAAGAAAGAGATGATTAGTAAAATTTGCTGAAAATAGCAGTTGAAAGTCATAATCACCATGCCGTCATAAATGGATAGGTTGGATGCCTTTAAAGTCCATTGCTCGACTCCTTTACAATGGAACTCCTTTATAAAGATAACTGGCAATGACTTCTTTCGGACATGCCACTACAAAATATAGAACAACTCTGCTTCTAGGCTTAACTAACAGCAATCGAGTAACAATGACGGGTTGCTGTATACCGTGTTTAAGTATTAAAATATGAATTGAAGTGCAAAAGTGTTAAATATGGAGTTATCTATATATTGTGCTATTGTGTTCTTTAATAAATAAACTTATACTGTCCCATTATAGGAGTCAGGGGGTTAAATTAAAAGTACCCTTAACCGATGAGCATGCATTAAAAGATTGATGACTATTAATAAAGCGAAAGAGATATGAAAGTATTATAGGAATTGGCATTCTCTGCCTATCTCCATAGGAGGCGTGAATCTATGTATGTATATTGTATAGGAGTCAGCTTACCACGTATATTAAAAAAAAGAAAAAAATATATATTTTGCCCATATACGTTTTTTTATATACGCCAACTGTTGTTATTTTATAACGAGCCATTTAATCATATCAGTTCAGATACTCTATCTATTAAAATATTTATAACAAAAAGTATCCAATGGAAATTACAAACGATTTTGATACACATTATATATGTACTTATAAACAAAAAAATGCTACTATTCATATAAAAACCAGAATGAAATTCGCCAAACTACCGATTAACACACACGTATAAATCATTTTGTTTCCGTTTTGCAAATAAAATGTGTATCTATGTATTATTTAAACCGACTAGCTTCGTGCGCCATGTCCACTATTGTTCTGTGGAGCACGTGATGATAGAAACGAGGTAGATGCGGTAATGTTAATTTGAACATATAATGTTTTATCCTTTTATCCCCGAATGGAAAATGAGGTGTACGTTACAGCAGTTAACCTAATGTAACACCCACAATTCCCTATTTATGTTATGAGTCCCATGTAATAAGGGGTGAGCCTATTGCCATATACCGGGTACAGTTCCAGACTCGGTGCTTAAATTGAATTTTTTTTTAAAACTCATTAATACTTTGTCCGGCCTGGAAATTGAACAGAAAGCCCTTTGCGGTGGTCGCTCTTGCGACTACTCGGCCAATGAGGTAGTTATGTTAAAAAATGATTGTTTCGTTTTATGTGTGAAGTCAATTTTGTCAGAAGTTTTATTGAAATACTTATTCAAGAATGTTTTACAGATAGGCTAGATTATTTTACTATTGTAGTGCGCACAAAAGGACAGTTTGTGGATCAAACAAAAAGTTGTTCCATGCGGAAATCAAATCCGCTAGACGTTGCGTTTGCGTAGCAGCCGGTTGCCGAGGTATCATTACACTTACCTCATCCATAAAAACATCCTTCATACATCAACATCCAAAATGGCGGCAGAACGTTTCTCATTGCGCTCCTACAGTACTACAGGATACCTTTTGTTGTAGCTCCTAATATTTTCACCGCGTTTGTCTCAAATTTTAATATTCAAATGTTAAATTTCTTGCAGCATTTGCTTACATTTCTATTTTAGTTTCCGCATTCTTAGTGTCTTTGGTGTATCTCTGTTGCTAATATTGCACAGCGAATGTACACTACAGTGAACAAACTAATGTTGTGAATAGAGATTTGTCAAGATTAAGGAAGACAGAATTTATATCGATGGGTTTTTAAAAAAATTCTCATTAGTAGCACGGAGTCGGGATTGTGCCCGGTATATGGCTATAGGCTCACTCTCTATTACATGGGACTCATAACATAAACAGTGAAAAGTAGGTGTTACATTGATGATGAATTTTTGAAGAAATTTATTTATATATCTGTACGTAATAATTTTGCATCCTAATTGCTATGTATACGCAACTAGGGCGCTACGCAAATGCTACGCGATCGCTACGCACTGCTACGCTATCGCTACGTAAAAGCTACGAAATTGTTACAACAAAGTTACTATTAAATTAACTCGTCGAGTACCGGTTTTATAGACACAATTAAAGAACAATAGGTCGCGGTCACCGGTGACCGCTTGGTGTTTGACAGTTTAAATAGTTAATTTCATTACTCAAAACACTTGAACAACAAAAACAATGCCAAATGTAATATGACCTATAAGCAACCAAATTGCCACACAGTTTTCAACCTTAAAAACAAAAACACAAACATTTAACCTTTTACAAAACCACATAAAAAACTTAATCCCTAAATTAACGTGTAGGGGTCATAAGTATAAAACCAGTTGCCTAATTTAGGTACCAAAACACAGGTCCCAAACTGAACAGGTTTTAAACTTTACGTGCGTTTAGGGGTACCTTATTTTGGTACGATCGTGTGAAGTTATGGCTGAGTCATATGCATGATCCTTTGTTCATTTTATTTTCTAAGAAAACTATTTGTTTAGCTTCTTTAACTTTGAAGTCTTCTGATATATTCAAATGTGGCTATAACAACGCCCTTATAACATTGGATAGCTTATGTTTTTCAAACGTTACCCCACTATATTATTTTCTCTTGTCTCGTGGATGCGTTTACAAACATACAATATCACACACATATGACACCCAGACCAGGAACAACAATTTGTGGATCACACAATGAGTCCCTCCGTTCGGAAATCGAACCCGTTACATATAGCGGGGCAACCGATTGTCCAGCCTGAGCGACCATTCTTTTCAAAACTGTAAAGAATGGAGTTTACTCCTTTTTAAAAGCCCAGCAACGCATTTATAACTTCTCTAGTGTTTCATTTCATAGTCATCAAAGCAAAGGAGTCTTATCTAGATATATAAAAAAAAATCTGTTCCTTAGTCTTGCTTAGATTCGAGAAGGGCTCACAGAAATCCGATGTGAAAAAACGCTTGTGTTGTGCTTCATCGTGTGAGTGAGGCCGGTAACGCACACGCCTTGGTGTTTCAGGTGTCCATGGGTGGTGATTGCTTACCATCAGGAAATCCGTCTGCTAGTTTACCGGCTTTAAACATAAAAAAACTTTTTTAAATCGTGTCTTTCAGACTATCAATTATGAGGTTATTTTTTTGCCCTAATTAAGTATCAAATCTTTTCTATATACAATTAAAGTAATAAATAATACCTGCCTACCGATCCCCAACATGTTTAAACTTGAAGCTACATGAAGGTAGCGTCTATCCGGCTGTTCACAAAAAGGCGATGCGCGCGCGCAAGGCTATGGGAAATTATTTGACAATACAATACTCTCTGGTACACATGTTCGTTGGTTGTTGGGGATATTTCTGAAGATAGTATTTTGTTTTTATTTTATTTAAAATTATTTAATTTTCTTGTGAAAAGAATATAGTAATAACTACCTGTATTTTAACTTTTATGTATTTTTACTTCGATTATTGGAAAACAACACGATTAGTGCTTTTAGTAGTTTTTCTACCTGATCTATTAGTCAGTAACGTCATAGTCATTACGTCAGAACTACCCGTAAGAGGAGGTTTGCCATAATTTCACGCTTCTCAAACATTTTTGTCATTACAGTTACAAAATATTTTAAAGAAGTTCGTAATACTACATCAAAAATTATAAAAGCTACACTTGAATAGGGTAGATGTTTTTTTTAATTAAAAAAAAAAACAAATTAATAATACAACGCGTCGTGATGTATCCCACCGTAAAAACAATAAAGTTAAACAAGACAAAGAGAGCTCTGGGGGGCTAAAAAGGTAACATTGTATGTTTCATATCTGAATCATTATATGTGACATTTGTCATGTCATAAAAAGCCATACTTTTTGATGATTCATAATATGAACTTTGCTTTTTATCATTATTGATATGGTGACTTTAAATTGATTCTTTTTCATTTTTCATATTGCCAAAATTTGCTAAGGATTGCTTAATCGATACATAGTACCCACGCAAATAAGGGCAGAAAGAAAAGAAGATAAGTAAAATAAACAAAACATATAATTTTTCTTTCCAGATATACTCCTGAATATCTTCAGACCAGTCTATACAAAACAGTATGGTGTGTAGCGCACCTTCCCACAATTTATTCACACGTATCCGACGATACTTATCTCATGTACAAAGTTATTTATTTGCTTATGTTTTACCTAATGAATCATTTGATGACGTCAATACACTGATGATTTTATATACGGAATTTTATTTTTGATTATTATTTGAATTGTAGGTATATTTTACTATATCGCTTCCAATCGACTGATTTAGAAGTCATATAGAAGTAAGTAGAAGTACCAGGCCTGTGAGAGTCAGTGGACTTTTTTTTTCAGGGCGGAAAATCATCTAATGGCTTTTCCTATCTTGGAAGAGAGGAGAAGGAGTGTCAGACTCTTACTGACTAAATACAACCGCGTTCCTACTCCTGCTCTTCGAGTCGGAGCCTCGGTAACCTGTTAAGTCCTCCGCTGGCCGCTCCGATGGTTCCGCATCGGGCATGAGCCCTACTGGACTCTATCTGTCTGATGACTCTTTGAGGTGCGTACAGAATGCGACGGGCCGTACGTATGGTTCTGGTACTGGTCGGGCGGCGAGTTAACCGTGCTCGCCGTCCGCAGGTCCGTGCTTACGGTGGCCGGAGATGGTCTCGCGATCTCGATAATCATAAAATACAATAATACTACAA